CTACTGAATTTGGATCACCAACAGCTAACTTATCAAGAGAATTGCCAGAACGCATAGCTGGAGCCTGATGAATCTCATTCATGTTCACGATTCTTCCCGACTTAACCACTGATTCTCCCACTTCAGCTTGTTCATTAGAAGAATGAGAGCCAACAGAATCTTTTTTCTGCAAATTGTGGTTGCTATCTTGTGGGAACTGTAGGATAGTTGAGATGAAAGAACTGGTTCCAGGATCTGCTGCATTCTGATGTTGGCACTCAGTATCGCTTTGGATTATAGATGAATCGTAACTCAGCAGATCTTCAGCAGCGTCAGATGTGAATGATTCCAAATTGCATCCCTTTGGTTTCTCAGTTTTCCTATCTTCATATATTCTATGCAATTGTGCTTCAATTTCATGTGGATGGTGTATCTTTTTCAAGTTGTCATCAGACTGAACAACTGATTTAGGGGTATTCGCATTCCTGTCTCTTGATGTCTCATCACAAGAAACCTTTTGACCAGGAGGGCTGTCAGAATTATAATCCAAGGCTTTTGGCAGCTCGATTGCTAAATCAAAGTGTTCATTTGGTGGCCCAGTACTACCTTCTCCAGTCAAACTCCCATGAGTAAGGCATCCTAGTTGTTCATCATAAAGGCCAGATAGCTGAACAGCTTGTGAAACCTCTTTACTTGTATTTTCTTTTCCACTCTGAAGTAACCCAGATCTTGAGGAATCTGAGGATGGATGCCTAAGAATGGAAAGCAAATGTTAACTAAAATGCCCAGTTGATGAATAGTGGTTGTTCCTTTACACTTTTGATTCAAGCAACAACAAGAAATTAGCTTTACCTTCTAATTGAAAATCTGGATTCCTTATGAGAATTGGTTGATGGTGAATTAAACAAAGATGAAGGCGAAGTGAAGATCAGCGAGTTGAAATCAGGATGTACAGACTTGACTGGCTCAATAGGTGAAAGACTGCTTATATATTTGAACACAGGTGAGTCCTGCATTTTCACAACACAAGTTTCTTATCACATAACCTCTACAACCCAACCTTTTAGGTTTTAGTAGATGATCAGGAATCACTAAAAGCAATGGGAATCAAGAAGCCAGCAGCAGAAATAAAATATATTAAACAAAATCAGAATAAGAGAAGCATACAAGCACAAACACACAACTCAGAGCACACCCCAATAACAACTTCTTCCACACAACATGCAGATCGACAAGATACTGACATTGATATTATCAAAGTACTGAAAAAATGAGCATACAGACTTATCAAAGGAACAATTCCAACATAACTAAAGTACCATAGACTACCTTGAAATGTGACATAGGAACATCAAAGGCAATGACATCAGTGCATCGGCAATGACATCAGTGCATCGGCAATGACATATGGCCAAACATAATAGAATACTTAAAGAGTCAATTAACTGAACTACATATCCAAAGATATAATGTCTTCAAAACTATGATATTTCTTATGTCAAAAAGCACATGAATAAAATCTTGAAAACTTATTCCCTTTCAAAACAGCAGCCATTTACACTTATGTTGCTTATACTAGGGTGCATCAATCTGATAGTGAAGAATTCAGGAACTTTGTCAGTAGGAGTCCCGAAATTGAATAAAGTAACTAGGATCCTTGTGATACAAAAAATAATAAAAAGAACAAAAGCTTCTAGGAAGCTAAGGCGATGTCATATGTATAACAAAATACATTCTTTAGCACAAAAAGATAGCAGATTCATGTTTAAAGTGAAAATAGGAAAAAAGATAATAGATAGTAACACATAATAGATGAAGTACTTATTATATAAAAATATTCAAAATTTAGACATTAAAGAAGACATATTTGCCTCTAAGTGTTTCTTTCACCCTTCTGACCTAAGCGTCTTCATTATTCTCTTCAAATTATCATACATCACGGCCTCAGTTTATAGATAATCAAGTGATAAGCATGCACAATACATGTCATTCACAAACCAATGTCATGTCTAACAATGGCGTGCAGTAAATTAAGGAGTTTGAGCAACATAGATTTACACAGAGCTAGCGCAGAAGTAATGAATTTGATGTAAAGGCAAAAAAGACAAACTTTTTTCGATATAATATCAATACTGAAAAATTAGGAATCTGCCACTTTGTTTTTTTCAAATTGATACATTTTACAAGTGTTCAAAAATTAAGAAGCAACAATTTAACCCCACAAGCAATCTCTCATGTACAACCTCGGATCAGTTAAATGATTTGCAGACCTTGAATGAACACCTCAAGGTTTTTGTTCGGTGGAATTAGTTGTTGCTATTTACTCTCTTCTAATTATCTACCAGTAAGGTTCGATACAACCACATAAAACATGAAATCGCAATAACCCGTGTAAGCAATCTTCCTCTTTCTATCTTGTTCTCTCTAATACAATCTCTCTTTCAATCAATTACTTTTTGGCTAGTAAAGACTCTTTTCTCTATTGCTATTTTTCTCTCTCTGCACAAGTTTCTCTTTGATAAATTCTTTTAGCCTCATTCTGAGCAAATAAGAAATCCTAAGCATGGTGAAGATAACAGTTATTATTCCTTGCTCCAGTGAAACAAAATCATCTTAGAAGACCCTTCATGTGCAGATTACCAGATAAGAAGTGAGCATATATACAAACTCAACAGAAGCTCTCAATGCCTGCATCAAGAGCTTCAAGATTAGCCTTTAGAGACTTCAAGAAAAAATTTCAAGTCTCAACTACTCTAGAGACTACTCTTTCTTATCTACCCATGATGATGTTTTCATGATCAAGACTCATGAGGGAACCAAATAGAAGCATTTAACATAGCAGAAGATTTTATTATCAATTGAAGTTTATCTTGTCGATTAATGTACTATCGCGTATGAGATTAATGCACAATAGGTCATACAAAATTATGGATCTCACAATATAGGTTAAAGTTTAGAGGAGAATCGTATTGCAGAATATTAATTGCTTATTAAATGGGGCAGCAAGAAGATAAGCAATACAAATAGAGGACTTAAACAGATGGGGAGCAGAGAAATCACAAAATAGAAGACCGAGAGAAGTGATACAATGACTTGGTATATTTTGCTCATTTTGCATTGTGTTTTTGGAAGTAAACCTACTAACTTATCTATGGATTTACTTTTTGAGATTCAAGTTTTTCTCATTATGCAGGAACAATTTACATAATATAACTCATATGTAGAATTGGGCTGGTTCTGTAGATCAACCAGATTCCAGTACTCATTGAGCTAATCAAATTACCTGATTCCTCAAAACCCATGATATTTCATATGAAATTTCAAATGCACCAAGTTGAATCTAGGAAACCTAATCCAAATCAACAGATACTGCATGCGCCACAGAAATAAACAGCCAAGAAACTGGACTAAGAGCTAGAACCTAATCATTTTCTACCAAAATCAGAGTACCTAGTGATAATCAAAACAAAGAAAGAAACAAGAAGGTTTACAAACACCGCATGTAACAAAAAATCACGGTGCCTACTCGATAATTCAAAGCAGAGAAGAAATAGAAACATTCGGTACCAAGCCCATGTAACAAAAAACGAATATATTTCTCCAGCTGAATTTTCTCAGAAACCAAACAGAAACTATAAAAAGCCATTCGGAACTAAGACAAACAAAAAATTATATCCAAGCATTTTAGCTCCATGATCATCCATTCCCAGTATTTTCTACAGTATTTGGGTTCAAATTTCGATATGCACACATTAACAATGGATTTGCCCTATTAAAAAAATAAAAATAAAAAAAAGAAAAGCGAAAATTCGAAAGAGAGAAGAGAAGACCTCGAATTTGGAGAGAGAAGAGGCGGCGATCTGGTTTCTAGCGGGAGTATCCATTTCCGGCGACGTCACTACAACTTCTTTCTCCTCCTCCACATGCCTCCCCCTCCCTCCCTCCCTCTCTCTCTCTCTCTCTAAAGTCCCTCTACTTCTCCAATTACACCAGAACAAAGCGAGTTTTTGAGTGAACCAACTCAGCCCCTCTCTAGAAGAAGTAATGAATTGAATGCAGAAGCGGGAAGGCGGGAAAGAGAGAGAAAATTTTGTTGCCTTTCTCAATTATAAAAATTTCCGAAGAAAATGAGAAAGAGAAGGCCCAAAATCCAGGGGCCCTGTCTGTCTTCTAGAGGGACCACCATTGTTGTCTTCTTTCATTTGACCACTGACCCAATATTTCAATCTGATAAATTTATATATTGTCTTAAAATTAATTAATTAATTAATATATATTTATATAATTTAATTTCAAATTTTAAGATTATATTTTTTTAATATATTTCATGTTATTAATTCATTAATTTAAATTATTAAGGCATATAAAATTTTTAATTGGCTACCAGGTAAAATAAAATATTAATAAAAGTAGTGTTGTGTTCCAGGGATACGTAATATATATATATATATATATGTATATATTAAATTTTATAGAAGTATATATGAAGGCTGCTCCAATTGAGAATTCCTACTCATATAAACATAATTAACAAGTTCTAATGCTACCCGAATTATGATAATCCCTGTATATATATATATATATATGTATATATATATACACACACATAAACATATCATATCATTCTAATTGTAATAATTTTCTAATCTCAACTTAAGTTTAAGAATCTTTTTCTTTCTCTCTTAAGCTTCCTCTCTCTCTCTCTCTCTCTCTCTCTCTCTCTCTCTCTCTCTCTATATATATATATATATATATATATATATCCCCACATAATTTTTTTTGGTGATCGTAAATTAGGAATTATATATATATATGTATATAATGTTTAAGGTTGAATTGATTATGTACAACAACAATAAACAAAAGTACTTTAAAAAAATTCTTCTCGTGCCATTGAGACCGAGAAGTAAAAGACAAAATATAATAGTTAAGAAACTCAAAAAAAGTGCTCTCTACGCCTTACTTGATGAGATGATTGCAAGACTCAAGTATACTCGAGATTATTCGTTTTTATTCTCGGATTAATTTTTATGATATTTAGTTTATATGTATCGTGGTGTTTGAAGGTTATGATTAATATTTTATGCGTAGAATTTTTGTAAGTTAAGAAGAATGATTTTAGTTGTAACACCCAAATTAATTTTGTGTAATTTAAAGTAATTTATAAATATCATTTTTTAATTTTAATTTAATTTAAAAATGAAGTAAATTGAATGTTGGATGAAATTGAAAACAATTTTAAGAAAAAAAGGTAAGAACTTGAGTTCTGTAGGTATTTTTTTAAAAAAAAAATCGAAAACTGAGAATCAAAATGTAATTTAAACATGGAGGATACCTGATCAGCAGCCCCGACGAACCAGGACGCGCCGTGTGGCAACAGGCGCTGACGCGATGCCATGCGGGCAATCCACATGCCCGCGATCAAACAACTCAGATCCGTTCCCGCGCGCACGAACGGCCCAGATGTGTTCCCTCCCCAAACGCGATTGGATGATCAGATTTAAACGCGATCGAACGGTCCAGAGTTAGATCGCGATAAATATTCTATATTAGATCGCGATCGGACGGTCTAGATCAAACGCGATATACGATCCAGATTAATAGGAGACGAGTATAAATAACTCTCTTCACACCAAACCCTACCCTAGCCACCAGACGCCCTTGCTGGAGAAAAAGACCCAGCCACCGGGAAGGAGAGCCGCCACTATCTGCTGCTGCATCGGAGTTACTTCCGACCGCTAAAAGAGATAAAAAAAAAAATTGCTCGGAATTCAATTTTAAACACCCCTATAGCCAAATCGAAGCAAAATGACCGGCTGATTGACCGAAAACTGCGAGTAAAGCCCGGCAGCGTCGCCATGGAGAATTTCATAAAACGCTTCCGATGAGGCCCTTTTCAATTCCTATTCTATGTAATTTTTCCACCATTATGATCACCATTTCCTTCTCTATATGTTGACCAGAGCAAAACACCCAACCGCAACGTGAGTCGAAGGAGTTGTCGCACTAAAGAGCCCCACCGC